TTATAATTTAATTTAGGTTTAGTAACAAAGAAATTTAATTTAGGTTTAATAATATAATTTTTTATAAATATAATAACTAAGTATTCTGTTAAAATTCAATAATTATCCTAATTATATTTTAGACTTTTTATATTTAAAATGAGATGTTTATCTAATATTTGATTATATTTATCTGCAGTTAGTTACACGAATTCTAATATGGAGTTTTAATAAGTTGTACTTATACACAATTTACTTGTAATCTAAAATTTTAAGTAATATGCATCAATAAACAATACTTCGTACATAAAAAATTGTTTTTAAGAATTTTTATCAAATGCTTTATAATATAGTATATATATATATATATATATATATATATAACTATTATAGATTATAACTAATATAAGTAGTATATTTGGCAAAACTAGAATTTAGTTGGTTTTTCAAGACACGTTTAAAACGATGGCTCGTTCGTAGTATTTTTAGTGATTGAAAGAGACTAACATTTGAATATCATTAACTCTTTGATTTTTGCATGCATTGCTACTGCTACACACATGCATTTATTTGACAAAGCGAGATTCGGAGATAAGAATTGAAAATCATATCAATATGAATATCAAATTCAAATTCAAATTCAAATGAATAAAATTGTCGAGTTTTTTTTCGTGCGATTTGATTCACTCAAATTTTGGTTATATGAGAATTATGACCAATAAGATAACACGAAAACGACCAATTCACATATTAAATTAATCAACAAATCCTTTTTCTCCAAACTAAAAGATAAGTGGATCGATAATATATAACTTGTAATATACGTCATAAAAAGCATAATTATTAATTAACTAATTCCCTACATAAGCAAAATATAACACGTTATTCTTATATTTGGAGATTTTCTTATTATTTCATTTTTTTTTTATTTCAAAGAACTAGAAGAGTATTCGTACAATGCAACATAATATATCTCGATTTTAATGTTTTATTTTATTTTTTGTCTTTATCGATGTTATAATACGATTTTATATGTTTTTAAGAAAGCAATAATGGTTTTTTTTGAATAAAATATAAATTTGAAAATATCAAAAAAAAAATATCAATATTAATATCAAATCAACTATTTAAAAGTTTTTCATTTTTATTTTTATTATAATTTAATTTAAGTTTAATAATGAAAAAAAATATTTTTGGTTTAATAATATAAATGTTTTATAAAGATAATGATTAAGTATTCTGTTAGAGCTCAATAATTATTTTAATTATATTTTAGATTTTTTATATTTAAAATGAGATGTTTATTCTGTATTTGATTATGTTTATCTGCAGTTAGTTACACAAATTCAGATATGAAACTTTAATAAGTTGTACTTACGCACAATCTACTTGCAATCTTGAGTTTTAAGTAAAATGAAAAAAATTATTTTAAAAATTACAACATTAATGATATTTATTAGAATATTTAATACAGATAGGGGTGTTCGCGGTCCGGTTTGGCCGGTTTAACCTCTCAGACCACAAACCAAACCGTAATGGCGGTTTATAAAATTTTCAAACTGAGCGGTTTGACATCAAGTGTCCAGACCAGTCAAACCATACCATAAAAAGGCGGTCTGGTCTGACCGGTTTAGGCGGTTTGGGTCTTTGATGGACTTTAAATGTTAAACTAAAAAAACATTTATAATTTATATTTTTAGATTAAATATCCATTTTGATTATGTTAGATGTTAGACTTTATGTTGGGCTTAGGGATATATTTGAACTATAGTCCATAAGTTAAAAAAGTTGGACTTGCTAATATTAAAATAAATAATTAAATTATATATATATATATATATATAGAGAGAGAGAGAGAGAGAGAGGAGTGATCATATGAAAACCGCCCTCATTTGTGTAAACCGTGCAAACCACCTTCATCTGTCGATTTCATTGTTTAATCTTATGAAATTTTTTCATGAAATTGTTTAATCTTGTGAAATTGTTTCATATAATACTTTTTTTGATGAAGTTGTTTCATATATGATTGTGAAATTGTTTCATATAATACTTAATGAAACTGTTTCATGTATTTCTCTAACATTAATGAAACTGTTTCATGTATTTCTCTAAAATTAAAATTATGAAGATGATAATATCTATGATTAACACCCTCCACAATAAAAATGATTAATCAACCTCTCATAATTACAAAAAAATGAACAAAATGAAAAATTATGATTGGTTGAATGCGGTTTGCACGGTTTGTACAAATTGAGTGGTTTGCATTTGATCGCTCCCCTATATATATATGGCGGTCGGTTTGGTCCAAACCGCCCAAAAAATGTTCCAAACCGCAGACCGGATCGAACCGCCCGGTTTTACTATTTTCCAAACCAAACCAAACCGCCAGACCGCTTAAACCGCCAAAAACGGTCCGGTTTGACTTGGTTCGGCCGGTTTGAACGGTCCAACGGTTTTTTTGAACACTCCTAAATACAGAGGATATTATTTCTCTTTTCGAACATTTAATTTAAAAAATTTCTATTAATGAACAAAATAAATATAAATACCATTTTAATTGACTAATAATTCTTTTTTGAACTTCTCTAAATTTCAAAAAATAATAATTATTTTATTTTATTTTATTTTATTTTATTTTAAAGAATTTATACGACAAAAATCATCCCAAAAATCCCATTTTTTTCTATAAAACTCGTGGAGATGTTCCAAAAGGATTAAAAAAATGCAACCTCCAAACATGCGTAATGATCATATCCTTAATCCAAAAAGATGCCAAAAATAAAAAGTTGATCTCTGATTGGTTTGAGCTTAGCTCCAAAGTTTAAAAGTATATGGAGGTCACATGTTGAAATTCAAGAAGAAATAAAAATCTTTTTATAGCTACGGAGGTTTAAATACGATGACTCCAAGCTATTTGCAAAGCAAGTAGTCGTCCTGAGATTAATCAGCTCACATAACTGATTGGATATCCTAAGTTGATAAAAAAAAAATTGCCAAACAACAACAAAATAAGAAATGATTGCAATTTCAAACCGTATTTTCTACACATAATTCTTGTTCTTTACATAAATAACCACAAAACATGCGTCCAAATCGCTCATATAATATGAATATGTTTTTGAGCATGATTTTCTAACAGGATTATTGATGGTTCACGATCTTCAATCCTAAAGATCCATGAACAAACATTTGGGTAGTGAAAGAATATCCAAAAAAAACCCTACATTTTAACCTTCATAAACCCTAATTGTTCCTTGTAATTTAAAGAATATGGTGGTGGTAGAAATGAAATTAAATGTAAAGATGATTGAATTTGAAGATGCTAAGAAATATTAAGCAAAATGAAGAAGAAATCAAACCTAATTTCAAGGTGAAGCACCCCATAAAACCTCAGCAATAATGGTGGCAGCTTCAGCATCACAAACATGGGCTTCTTTAACTCTCTTCAATACTACTTGTTTCAATGCCCTTTTCTCTCTTTGTCTCAATCCTTCTCCTACCTCTAATTGCACTGCGAATCTTGCAACACAGCTTGAAAATGGATGCCGTTCCACGTTTTTGCTTTCACCTCTGACATCCATTAACACACCTCTGGTTTCAGATTTCTGCAACTCCACCAGTTTCTTCACCAAATCTTCCTCCAGCATCGCATCAATGGCTTCCTTCCTCCCGAAATAGCCAATCTCTAGAACACAGTCCATCGCCATTGTTCGGATTGAGAAGTCATCGGAGCTTAAGAAGGTTATGATTTTGGGGATTTCTCCGTTTGATTCGATTTCATCAACTATAGGGCTTTTGATTGATCGGATTAGTATGCAGAGAACTTGAATTGATCGCACGGATGATAATGAAATCAGCGCACGAACTGTTTTCCCCATTAGAACTTGACCTACGAACACATCCTTGTTGAATTTGATCAATTCGGCGATCGCGAAGGCTGATGTTTCTCGAACCTTCTTCGAGAATTTAAAGTCGCACAGAATCGTTTCGAGTTCAACAAAAACCTTCGATCTGAGTATCGCATCTTGTAGTTCTCGATCAAATCCTCTCGCTATCCGTTCCTCAAACTGCTCCATCAAATCGATTAAAACCTCCTCTTTCGTTTCACCCGCCCTACGCAGCGTTTGCGTCAGGGTTTCGATAAACTCCCGATCGATCCACGCCTGAATTTCCGACTCAATCGAACCAGCTACTCTGGATATCTCGTATGAGTTGGCTCGGCGAATCAGGAACGACCTAAGTCCGTGGTCGCGTTGACGTGCGTTATAGGAATTATGGATGAGAGTTTTGAGAGCTGATAGGTGAGTGGACAACGTTGTGAGGTGAGGGTCGTTGGATAGAATCGATTCTGATTCATTTTCAAGCTCGAGCAGAGCTTTAATGGCGGGCGAATGGGAAAAACTTATTTTGCCATCGGTCTTCTTAGAATCAGGGTTTTTCTGCAAGTCGTGTGAAGCTTGTTTGAGAGCTTCAAGGATTTTAAGAACTTGTTGGGTGTCATCTTTAGGGTTGAAACAGAAAAGGCCACCTTCAGCTTCAACTTCAACTTCCATGGCCGATGGCAGGGAGAGAAGGTTACGAATGAGCTTCTACTTCGGAAATTCCAGTCGTTTAATACGGACTCCCGAATCAACTCGAAAGCAACCGGTAACCGGTTAATACCGGTTTCATGAACTAAATATTTTTTTTTAACCCTACCTAATTTTGAATTTTCTTGTAAACCTACTTTGACTTTATTATAGTCAAATTTTGATTTAAATTGTTTAATTATAAAAAATAAATAATTATGTAACGATAATCGGGAGCGGATGCAGAACTTCCAACGATCGGGAACGCATATTTATTTTTATACATGTCTCTTTTATTCAATAAAGTTGGCACTGATAATAAATGATAATTATATATCAACGTACTAAAAGAATCATAAATAGATTTGTATGTGCAGCACATGAAATGATGTTTTTCGTACATTCTATTTGAATATTAGGATACATGCCCATGTTAGGGGTGTTTGAAATCCCCTGAAAGAGTTCTCATAAAACGATCTGGCTGATTTCCCGTGAGATGTGTGTTTCATGATGGAAAACGGATAAGTCTGAATGCGCCAAGTGTTGATCGAATTCAGTCTTTTCCATTCAACATCTTCTTTTCTCGAGTTTAACTTTGTCTTTAAATCGAGAAAACCCCAAATTTAGGAGTAAATCCAAAGTGAAACTGAATTCGGAATCCTCCTTGTCATCCCAATCATCGATTGCAAACGTGGTTGCTTGATGTTGTATTGTCGACAATCATCCTCGATCTGTTGCTTGATTTGATGCTCTCTCAAACTATAAGTTGTTTTCGAGCTTGTTTTTTTTTTTTTTATCATTGTTACATATAAGAGGGGATTTCCACCATTTTATCATTATTACTAATGCAGCAACGAGATGCATTGAATCAAACCCGTGATGAGCATAATTTATAGGGACATGTGAGATTAAAAGTGATCAAGAGTCCAAATATCTTCTTATGTTTCTCACTTTAATTTATATTCTCATATGATCCTTCCTATATATATATATATATATATATATATATATATAGAGAGAGAGAGAGAGAGAGAGAGGAGT